AAAGCAGAAGCTCCACTTACGAGTCCCAGCTCGTGATCTTCCAGAAGAAAAACTCGAAGACCATTGTCCAGTGCAATCTGGAGAGGGAAAGGAACGAAGCATGAGCTATTTTTCGAAGCATTTGCCTTACCATCTCATATGGCGGAAAAGAAAAATCGGGCAGCGGGGGAAACTCCTCTGGAATCGGGAGTATCTCCTGCTCCATGCTTGCTGTTACTGCAAAGCTGATCACAGAAACGCTTAAGTTACAGCCTTGAGAAAAAAAATTAAAAAATCTGGGGTTTCAGAAAGAAAAGAAAAAAATGCTCACCTTGGAAGAGCCGGACTCCACCAAGAGGTGAGGGACAGAGAAGCTGCTAAGGCAACTCCAAGGATTTTCCCCGGAAAGCTGTTGCGACAACCACATTGCACTCTTTCAACCTGGACATGAAATTATTCCGGGTAGCGATCTCTTGCGGGCATACCTGAGGCCTGGTGGATGCAAGCGTAGTGCGAATCGCGCTCGCGCCACACGATCGCCATCGCCTACATTCGCAATGTCTTGCGGCCAAGCAGGAAATCGACAGCATGGTAGCATAAACCCTAGTTCTCGGTATATTCCAGTTTTAAAACAGTTGGCAATTATATTGGAAGATGCTGATAATTTGGACCACCTTTTAACATTCCAATAACTTGGGATATCAGTAACACACACTGAATCTCACCACTGTTTTCAACTGCTAGTTCTAGGTCCAATGCATCCACTAGCATGTCTTCCATTTTAAGTTCCCACACCTGCAAGTTTACGGGTTGATAACTTCAAATAAGCAGGTAACAACGTACCCATCCCAGATTTTCGACTCTTTTTGCCAGTCACTATTTCGAATGTCCGAACGCATATACATCAGCTTTGAAAGTGAGCTGTCCTTATGCATATTCTGGAAGGATGTAGCCACTGAAATATTACAAACAGTCACATTCATAAGTCGTAAAATGAACTCATGGGGTGCTGTGCTGTAATGAGTCTTGCCAGTATGAGCCTCAACAGGCCATAATCTGCAATTTTTGGTTGAAAGCTTTCATCAAGTAGTATGTTACCAGGTTTTATATCCCTGTGAACAATGTATTTCCCTGAGCCTTCGTGCAAATACACCAATCCTTCTACTGATGAGAGAAGCCAGGCCTCACTCATTCTCTATAGAACGCTAGGCCATGAACCCTGGCTTCTCTCATCTTGGTATCAGAGCAATAGGTTAGATTTTTTTTGGCACGAGCAGTGCCATAGATGCTAGGACAGGATGGCATTGTCTTCTTCCTCCAGAGACATGAAGTAGTTCGATGGGATGAATTTCCTTGCCTGGAAAGAACATGCACAGTTTTGGTTTATGAGGTGGGGACTCTGGCCTATGGTATTTGGATTGAGAAAATGCTTATCCAAGGATGATAATGACATGGATCCATACAACAAGTGGAAAGACCTGGATGCTAAGGCAAATGGAGCGTTAGGAGGAGGACTTGGCCCTTTCTACAGTGTCCACATGAATGTGGAGAAGAGTTTTATTGAGAATTGGAAGTCAATTTGTGAAATTATGGGAGTGGACTTGCAAGAAGATGTGGATATGATTCTTTGTCACAGTGAGCTATACAGCCTGGAACAGAAGCCACATAAGCGTGTGCAAGACTACATCACCAGGCTTCAGCGCAAAGTGGTGGAGATTCGATTGCTGGACCCAAAAGTTGCTGTGATCTAATGCAGTTTTGTTCAAGGGGCTTGCAACTCATGCTATGAAGTTTCATCTTCAAGAAGATTCCTGACATTACACAGTGACAAATTTTTGCTGCCGCACCAGAGGAAGATCCATGCTTAGCTTTCAATTTTGTCTCACGACATTGCTTCTTCACTAGACAATCCCTGCTCAGGTGCCCAAGCTTTGAACATGTCCTACACTTCAAATTGAATTCTCGCTTGGTGGCTGGCTTTTCCTTAGTGCTGTTGGAGCACTTATTTCTAAGTTGATTAAAGACAGAGGAGTGCCCTGCTTGTGTGTGCTGATTACCATGAGTCACCATGGCAATCCCGTCCTACTCAGTAGCATTGCCTTCACCTATAATAGTTTTTTCGTGCTAGACGAGCTCAGGAAAAATCTACTGCTATGTAATGTTGGGAATCTTCTTGATATAACAAAGATGAAACTTCATAGCACAAGTTGCAAGCCCCTTGAACAGAACTATATTAAACTTTTGATCTGTCACAGTAGCTTTTGGGTCTAGTAGTCGAATTTCCACCACTTTGCGCTGAAGCCTGGTGATGTAGTCTTGCATGTGCTCATGTGGCTTCTACTCCAGGCTGTATAGCTCACTGTGACAAAGAATCACATCCACATCTTCTTGCAGGTCCACTCCCATAATTTCATAAATTGACTTCCAATTCTCAGCAAAACTCTTCTCCACATTCACGTAGACACTGTAGAAAGGGCCAAGTCCTCCTTCTAACACTCCATTTGCCCTAGCATCCAAGTCTTTCCACTCGTTATATGGATCTGTGTCATCATTGTCCTTGGACAGGCATTTTCTCAATCTAGATACCACAGGCTAAAGTCCCCACCTCATAGACCAAAACTGTGCACGTTCTGTCACGTGCAAGGAAATTCGTCCCATTGAACTGCTCCATGTCTCTGGAGGAAGAAGACGATGCCATCCTGTTCTAGCATCTATGGCACTGCTCGTGCCAAAAAAAAAATCTAACCTATTACTCTGATACCATGATGAGAGAAGCCAGGCCTCATGGCCTAGTGCTCTATGGGATGGATCTCACACAGGATGGAAAGAAAACTAAGAAAGCCTTAAACTGAAGGAATGCGACTCTGTACGCCACGTGGCTCTAACATCTGCAACTCCAAGGCATATTTCATATCTTGTTTCCGGGACAAGTGCACATCTGAATCTGCAAAAGGAATTGTAGAAACAGCTGAATAAAAAACGAGAAAGCATTACCATCCAAAGCATGTCGGAGGCTTTTTCTTGTCATGTACTTGTACGCTAATCTCTAACAAAATCGCACTGAATTTTCTCAGAATGGAACTTCATGTACTTAATTGCAACGATCTGTCCTTCCAACGTTCCCTGTTTAATGGAATGTAAAACGACACATAATAAAGGATTAATTATCTGAATAACCTCCTCTCCCAATCTTGTTCTGGTCTTTAAATCCCATTGTCTCATCGCTAAGTTCTTGGTAAGAGGATACTTTGGTCTCTGGATTTTTCCACAGCAGTGCTTCAGAGAGGTTTCAACATGAATGGTAAAGTACCTGCACAAAACTGTCCTGCTCCTGCTCTGTATCCAATATAAGACGATCAGAACGCATGATAATAATGCAACGATAGGATTAGAGTTATTCGGGTCCCTGATTTTCTGCAAGGTGTACATGGTGATTCTGAAGATGCACCACTCAACGCACGTGGACCTCACCTGGAGCTCACACTGTAGGAGAGGAGACTTTCAGCATCAAAATGGCTCATTCGGTATTCCAGTGTTCCACATCCCACTTAGACTTCCTGTTGGTGAAGCTTGTGTGCTACCAGATTCCCATCGTTCTACATTCTCAATAGAGAAGACATATTAGGAGATGCACCTGGGTTACTCCACAATAGATCTCCAGTGGGACCATACAATACGACGTGACTATCAGGTTCAAGAACCAGAGAGCAGCCAGGGCCCATATAAGCACCAGTGAGTAAAACTGGTGACCAAATGCTTCTGCTGACATTCACATCCCGCAACAACACTTTGCAGTCCTGCTGCATCTCCAGCTCGTAAGCCTGATTCTGTGAGGTGAGCTTGCATCCGGCGTGTAACATGTTGAAGATGGTGTGGCTTTCCAAGAGTATCATGATATGTGTAGCCATCACAGTTATAAATAATCAATGCTGAAATTTGCTGTGATAAATTTCTGGAGCGAAGTGCAACATTTCCTCTAGCACTGATCCCCTTGATATGGTAACCGACTTGAAGCTGTCCCGAGATGGTATACGCAGCTCCATAGGTCTTGTTCATAAGTAGCTCCAGCTCTGAGACCAAGCTCTAAACCCGTCCCGCAGCATGCTCGAATTCACGACTTTGGAAGCAGCTTGACAATTGAAAGCACCGGCACAAGAATGCTTAGAGACGATCGAATTGCTGACCTCTGCAAGCTCGACAGTGTCAAAAAAAAGACAGGCTCTCCGATTCCCCACTGTAGTCCAGCCCCGAAGGGATTACTTTATCTATGAGAGTGGAGAACTGAGCAGCTACGACCTGCTTTGTGGTGGCATTAAGCTTGAAATTTGGATATTCCACAATAGAGGATGAGGAATGTGCCGCCATTGGCACAGAAATCAAGCAGATTTCGCAAGCTCTTATGGTCCATGAGTTAAATGTCGCGATTCTGCGAGTCACCCAGCGAGTTACACACTCAGTGCTGAGTCAATCGGACGCGTCCGAAGGACTAGCTAGACAAGAAAACGTTAGTGAAATGATTCCTAACTCTTTTCTTAATGTTTGTTAGAGCCAAAAGTCAGATCTTAGTTGACAAATGATGAGAATAAAATTTTGATTTTAATGTTTATTTAAGTTAGCCTAATAGCTACACTTAACTCACACTGAGTCAACTAAGTCAATGAGCGTCAACACTTCTTCCAGGAAGATAGCCCCTGTTCTTCGCGAAAAACTCCTTCACTGTTTGGTGTTTCTCCAGCCCCGCCTTGACAATCTCGGCGTGAATTCTCCGCGCGCTCTCCAGATCCTCAAGCCCGCGGCACGCATCCAGCGCCGCCACCAACGTCTCCGCGTCTGGAGCAAACCCTTCGCCTTCCATGCGCCGGA